CAAAACAGAACTTGGCCTAGATATATATGTGATATATCTGTATACCAAATTTGATTTCAGTATGTGCAACGGTTGCAAAGAAAATGAACGGAAACTGCAAATAATTGAAATTTTTCCAAACTCCAAGGGGCATAACTCTGTCAAAAATGGTGCGATCTTACCCAAAACAGAACTTGACTTAGATATTCATGTGATATATCTGTATACCAAATTTGATTTCAGTATGTGCAACGGTTGCAAAGAAAATGAGCGGAAACTGCAAATAATTGAAATTTTTTCAAACTGCAAAGGGGCATAACTCTGTTAAAAATGGTGCAATCGTACCCAAAACAGAACTTGGCCTAGATATATATGTGATATATCTGTATACCAAATTTGATTTCAGTATGTGCAACGGTTGCAAAGAAAATGAGCGGAAACTGAAAATAATTGAATTTTTTTCAAACTGCAAGGGGCATAACTCTGTCAAAAATGGTGCAATCGTACCCAAAACAGAACTTGGCCTAGATATATATGTGATATATCTGTATACCAAATTTGATTTCAGTATGTGCAACAGTTGCAAAGAAAATGAGCGGAAACTGCAAATAATTGAAATTTTTCCAAGTCCAAGGGGCATAACTCTGTCAAAAATGGTGCAATCGTACCCAAAACAGAACTTGGCCTAGATATTCATGTGATATATCTGTATACCAAATTTGAATTCAGTATGTGCAACGGTTGCAAAGAAAATGAGCGGAAACTGCAAATAATTGAAATTTTTCCAAGTCCAAGGGGCATAACTCTGTCAAAAATGGTGCGATCGTACCCAAAACAGAACTTGGCCTAGATATTCATGTGATATATCTGTATACCAAATTTCAGTTCAGTATGGGCAACGGTTATGAAGAAAATGAACGGAAACTGAATGGACCGACAGACCGACAGACCGACAGACCGACAGACAGCAGCAAAGCAATATGCCCTCCCTTCTTCGAAGGGGGGCATAAAAATGTAAATAAAAGAAGAAGAAGAATAGTTACATAATTTTTAATATTATACATTTAAAGGGGCTGGGTGGTCGAGGTCATTTTTAGACTATTAAGCGAAATGAGTGAAAATCTTCCAATGACTAGTGAAGTTTGGCCTTTGACCTTTTGAGCTAAAAATTAATAGGGGTCATCTACTCTTAAGGAGAAGCCATGTAGTGTACTAATTTGAGGTCTGTCAAGCAAAATGTTTCAATATATTAACTTTTTTCTCCAGCTTCAACCTTGACCTTGTGACCAAGAAACCAACAGGGGTCATATACCCCTCAAGAATTACCGATATACATGTATATCAAATTTAATGTCTGTCATTCAAAGAGTTCTTGAGATATTGAGCAAACAACAGCCTACCTTTCCAAAAATACCTATATCATATCTAAGATATATTTTAAAGAGGCTGGGTGGTCGTGGCCATTTTTAGACTATTTTGATCTCCTTTAGAAGAAGAGCTCCATATAAAGATATAATAAAATGATCAAATTTTAAAACTAAAATTTATGAAATTTTTCTTTGCCAAATGATTGTTAAAACTTCAAGATATCATATCTAAAAAAAAGTTATATCTGGTGGTTAATAAAAAAAATAATCTGTTGACCCCCTAGCCTCCTTAAATAAATGTATGCATGTAAATAATAAATATTATTAGCATTGTACAATATGCAAAGTCATGCACTTAACGTTTTATATATAGTATTAAATACGGTATTTATCTCTTTAACAACACCAGATAATCACATGGAATCCACATGTTCTTGCTCACGTCAAATATTTCACGTGAAAATCACCTGGGTTCACATGACAACCTGCCATATATACATGCTGTATACATCGACGCCGTAGTATTAAAAGGTCGTAAGTGGTAGTTACGACAAAAATAGCTTTTTTACAGATTCCCAAAATGAAATGTTTTATACACAAATTGATATAAAATTTACTTTGATCAGAGTTTAGTTTCCATAGTAACACGTGAAAACATTTTGGTCGTATCTAAAGCAGACAGATACGGAAGAATTAAAAGGGTGTATCTACCACTTACAACCTTTCTCTCACATTAAGTCATGTATTTTATCTCCCTAAAAAGTCTTATCTGACACTTACGACTCTTTTAACAAAACTGTTCAGCATCAAGCAAACTGCAGATCATTCTGATGGCTTGGAAGATTAGAGATGGAAAACGGTAAGACTATACTTATTTTGATTGTCATTTGATTGCATTTAAAATAACTTTGAATGGATGCTTTAAAAACAGATTGTATTTTACTCAAAATAAAACAGAATTATGATAAATCTTATTTTATTGCCATACACATACGACCTTTTATGAAGTTAATTTGAAAGAAAATTACATGCTGAAAGATCAGTCATTACTCTCATTAATATGTTATAAAGAGGGAAAATGTAAAGAAAAAAAGATATATACAAACAAACTTTTAAAAAAATATTATTGTAAAGTTAAAAATTATTGCTATATCGGCTATTAAAGGATTCAATGCAGATACAACCTTTTATTTCTGTAACAAAGTATTTTTTGTACCTTTTTTTCTTCTAAACACTGCTTGTATAAAATAAATTTAAAATAAGATTGTAGGTTAAATTTGGTTGTTTTCATTATAAAACTTATTATTCTCAAGAAAATCAAACATTTGTAATTAGTATTAAAATACACATAAATTGTATAATAATAATGAAAAACATGCAGTTTGGAATTTAAATTAAATGACAAGGTCGAATGTTTATTTGAATTAATTAGCAAATATGTTCATTGAAATGTACTTATATCTTTATATTCCTATTTTTAAAAATGATATGTTTTTGTATCTGTTGCAGGTTTGGAGTGCATGTTTTGTAAAACAGCTAAAAAAGATCTTATTTTATTGGAATGTGAAGAAATAAAACAGAGTGAAATATACTCAAGAATTTGCAGATCCTTAAAAAAGGAGGTATTTGAAAACCAGGCTCCAGAGTACTTGAAGGGACTTTGGGCAACCCATCTTCTCAATGTAAAAGACAGACTTGATATTATCACTTTGAAGCAGAAAAAACTCAATGAAGAAATTCAGTTACATCTAAAACATCACAAAAATAATCATGGAAAGTGATAATGATGATGACATCACTTTATGCGCTTTGGCCAAAAAAATTCAAGAACAAAACACAGTAATTGATGATGACGATGACAATGTACCTCTGATTAATATTGTACTTCAGAAAACAAAAAATATTTCTTACAATATAGAAACTACTGAATTAGAAGACAATGTACCACTAATCAACATTAGGAACAAAATAAAATGTTCAGATATTATCAACAGTAACACTGATGAAAATATCAGCAAAGAAAATGAAAACAAAAGAGAAAGCATTAAACAAAAAACAAGCCTAGACAGAAATCCCAAACAGGCAAAGGATCAAGAGGGGTCTCAGAAGACAAAAGATCACATAGGACTTAGGAGTATAGAGGAGCAGGATAAGTTGTCGATGGAAGAGGGTCAGAAAACATTACAGGAGACAGAAGGTCAAATGAGGCTACAGATGGAAGAGGATCGGGAGAAATTGCAGAGGGTAGAAGATCAACAGGTGGTGCGGAGGACAGAAGATCAGAGTATGTCAAAGAGTGCAGAAGATCAACAAGTGGTGCAGAGGGCAGAATATCAGGGTATGTCAAAGAGTGCAGAAGATCAACAGGTGGTGCAGAGGGTAGAATATCAGAGTATGTCAAAGAGTGCAGAAGATCAACAAGTGGTGCAGAGGGCAGAATATCAGAGTATGTCAAAGAGTGCAGAAGATCAACAGGTGGTGCAGAGGGTAGAATATCAGAGTATGTCAAAGAGTGCAGAAGATCAACAAGTGGTGCAGAGGGTAGAATATCAGGGTATGTCAAAGAGTGCAGAAGATCAACAGGTGGTGCAGAGGGCAGAAGATCAGAGTATGTCAAAGAGGGTAGTAGATCAACAAGTGGTGCAGAGGGCAGAAGATCAGGGTATGCCAAAGAGGGTAGTAGATCAGCAAGTGGTGCAGAGGGCAGAAGATCAGGGTATGTCAAAGAGTGCTGAAGATCAACAGTTGGTACAGAGGGCAGAAGATCAGGATATGTCAAAGAGGGTAGGAGATCAACAGGTGGTGCAGAGGGAAGATGATCAGAGTATGTCAAGGAGGGCAGAGAAACAAGGGAGCTTGCAGAGCGCTAATGACAAAAACAATAATATTTGTGAACAAGAGGTATGCGATGCAACAGGGACCTTTGCAGTTTCAAATGAAGGAAGTACTAGCATCGATGTTTTGATGCCTTTGTTTGAAAGTGATATTAACTTCGACTTTCCGGAAGTAGAAGATCAATTTGTATATGAAATATGTAGCACTAGTTATGAGACTCCTGAAATTGAAGTTAATTCAACGCCAAAAGAAAGCTTCAATTCAACAGACACAAGTACGACACAAGAGGATACGGATACAGAAATAAGCGAAGAAGTAACAGAGTCTGAAGAAGAAATAGTGTTAAGACAATCTCGTCGAAGAAAGAAGAACGTTGAAAAATGGAAACAGACCATCCGAAAAAGAAGACGTAATGCAGGAGAGAGTTATGTGTCATCTGAAGGAAAAAATGTTTCAAAAAAAACAATGAAACAAATCTCTTGCAAGTGTAAATTCAAATGTTCTCAAAATTTTAATGAAGAGGATCAAAGATTGATCTTCACGAAGTTTTGGCAATTGAATTATGAAAAGCAACGAAGTTACATCAAGGAAAACGTAATAAAGACAGATAAACGTCGGAGGACGACAATGACAGAGTCAAGGAGAAAAAAGACTCTACAGTACTTCTTCACAGATCGAGGAGAAAATCGAGTGCAAGTGTGCAAGAAGACCTTTCTGTGTACGCTTGGATTAGGAGAGCGCACTGTTCAGTATACCTTGGGACGACAGGAGAAAAACGGCATGGCAGATAGAAGAGGGAGGAAGAAAGGGTACTCAAAGTTTACTCAGGAAGACAAAGAGTACATTCGGGAACACATACGTTCTTTCCCAACTGTAAGCTCACATTATTGTAGAAAAAACACTCAAAGAAGATATCTCTCGAAAGATTTATCTATATCAAAAATGTACGAACTTTATCGGGAAAAATGTTCAGAAGATGGAATGGTACCAAAGAAATTTTGGCTGTATGATAGAATATTTGGGGAAGAATTTAATTTGGGCTTTCATAAGCCGAAAAAAGATCTGTGCACCATTTGTGAAGCTTATAAACTGTTACCTGATTCAGAAAAGGAGGCATCATCTGAAGAGCACAAGAAACACTTAAAGAGAAAAGAAAATGCCAGAGCACAGAAACAGGCTGATAAGTTAAGAGCTAATGATCAAGTTATGGTTTTGAATTTTGATCTACAAAAGGTTCTTATTACACCGCAAATTTTTGTATCTGATGCCTACTACTCTAGAAAGTTGGCCACCTACAATTTTACAATTTATGATATGAATTCTAAATCTGTTGTCTGTAATATCTGGAACGAAACAGATGCCAAAAGAGGAAGTTGTGAAATTGCCACATGTTTGTTTCTATTTAACAAGAGTGTGGGGCCAAAGGAAGAAATTGTATACTTTTCCGACAGTTGTACGGGACAACAACGGAACTTACAATTCAGCACCATGTGTTTGTACACTGTTGTTAATCTTCCTATAAATGTCCTGACTCATTACTATTTTGAGCGTGGTCACTCTCAAATGGAGGGGGACAGTGTGCATGCCACAATAGAATGTGCAACGAAGAAATCAGAAATATTCACCACATCTGACTGGATCACAGCGATCAAAAATGCAAAGCGCAAAGATCCAAAGTACCAGGTAAAGGAACTAGGCAATGAAATGGTGTTGGACTTCAAAGAGTGTGCACAGAAGGTGGTGAGCTGCAATCGTAGAAAGGATTCCACAGGAGAGAATGTGCATTGGAATAAAATTCATGTTTTCCAATACAAGAAAGAAAACCCAGACACAATTTACTTCAAGTATGAGTTTGATGATGAGTTTCGAGCAATGCCCTTACAAGGAAGAAAAAGAAAAAGTAAGGTTGATTGTATGCAGTTGCATCAGTATCCACTGAAACCGCTGTACACCCACAGAATTCCAATTTCTGAGGCAAAATATAAAGATCTTCAAACACTCTGTCAAAGAGGTTTGATTCCACGTGCTCACCAGGATTTCTTCAAGGCTTTACCGCATGAAGGAGATACAGATGCCTTGCCAGAACCGAACGGTTCTGATGAATCTGACATTGACAATTAAAATGTCCCTGTCCTAGACGCATCTAGTGCATTTGTCAGTGACTGATTTCAAAGTGCTTTTTTAATTTAGATCTTTTTTCCCATTAAAATGCGGATATTGTTACACTATGTAAGATTTTGGTCTATTATTGTTAAAATTTTGGCTTATTATTGTTAAAATTTTTAGTTACCCGGTTAATACATTAATTGTTACATTATTGTGAGGGAGCTGCCTCTTCCTTCAATTTTATTCAAGAGTTGCATGTTTGTTAGAGTTGAATTTTTACATTTTTTTGTTGCAATACAATTTCATATAATTGTTAATCTAAGAGATAACCTGTTCTTTGATGTTATTGACAGATTCATAATATAAAATGTCAAATTTTGTTTAGAATGATAATTATACCATTTCTAGCGATTATAATTTCAATTATGTAAAAAAAAAAAACACTTTGTAGACATGGTTTTTATCATTTTTGTTTTTTCATTTCCTGTTGTTATCAGTTTAGTTCAAATAAACATTTCAACAACTTGCTTTAGTGTATTTTGTATTACATGTATGTTATTGCTGGTACAAGTTATCCACTGTCTCCATGTGCTTGGGAGAAAATAATCATTCATTTATCTAAGGTTAAATTTAGAGAACATGGGGAATAAGTTTAAAAAGGAATTCCAGGTCCAATTTTTGGGATAAATAGAAATCAGTCTTCCATATTAGGATAAAAATAGTTGTATAAAATATGCAGATGATTGGATTACTAAGGATATGTATGTAAATTATTCAAACATCTATTATTCCATATTGATATTCTACGTTAAAAGATGTTATTCTTTTATCAAAATGATATGAGTAAAATAATCTGATAATCATAATATTATTAATAGAAAAATGATTATAAAAGGTCGTAAGTGGTACATACAACCCTGTACAAAGCAGGAGAAACCTTGCCTGTAAAGTTAAATAAGGTCGTAAGTACCAGTTAAGACTTTTATTTTAACCTTAACAGAAGTAATTATAAATCTTATAAAGTATTTTCAATTATTTTTGCTTTATTTTCCTTTAAACTTTGTTAAAAACTATACAAAACAATCACATTTATTATTCAATAGGGTCTTTCATACGATTTATCAAACAACCAAACAATATGCCTTTTATTTTCTGCTCTAAACAGTTTTTTGTCATTTACGTCAAATTTTGAAACTCCAAAAAAGTTTACATACGACCTTTTAATACTACGGCGTCGACATATCTTTATTATCATATAAACAATGAGATTACTGACCTCTGCAAAACAGAGATGAGATAAGATGATGAAGAGAATTTTATTTACTTAAAGAGCTTGATTGTCATGATATATTTTCAAATGCAGATTTTTCCAAACACAATCAATTTTTATTTACATGCATTCAAAACATAAAATCAATCGTTCTCTTTTCCACTTGATATTCTTCTTCATTCCGGGAACAAAGGCCATGAAACAGACTTAGTCAGATTTTTATTAGCCTGTAAAATATTTACGAATTGTTGAATTATCAATCTTTCTCTTTTCCATTTCATTTTCTTCTTCATTCTGGGAACAAAGACCATGAAAAAGATTTTTTTTTATTAGTCGGTAAAATGTTTATGGATTATTGAACTAATTTCTAAATTTGTAGAAAACAACACTTTCGTAAAAACAAATAAATATTCTTATTTTAGTCTTCTTGACTTCTACAAGATTTTATTTAAATACAGTAGATTTTGACTTAAGGTCAAGATGTTTCATGATCCCGGAGCCTGGATTTAGAATCGATCACGTGACTAAGCCAAATAAAAATATCTAATACTTGTACTAAGAACAAAAATTCACATTCATTTAATACTTCTTCGTAATACATGTAATTCCAAAAATGCATGAATAGATAGCCAAGGACTTTGGTAAATACACATATTATGCCCTTTGTGGATTTTACAACTTTTAAAATCATTAATTAAAGGAAATGATATAGCCAAAATCTAACAAAGACGATGGTGAACAGGACGATCAAAATGCCTGCAAAGCGAAAAACAAATGTGAAAAATCAATGCTCAATTATCTTACATCAAACTTTTCTTCGATGTTTCATCTAACATTTAAGTGTACTTTTATAAAATATATAATCTCTACAATGTGCAAAAAAAAAAAAAAAAAAAAAAAATTACAAAGATTGATATTTTTCTACGAAATTGCATATACAAATACTTACTTAAGAGACAAAAAGTACGATATATTATTAAACATCTTAGTTTCAAAATATATTTTATCAAACAATACATGTATCAAAGTACTACTTTACCTCTAAAATACACTTTTATGACAAAACAATCTCATATTTTCATGAAATATTTGAAGTCCTTTTTAAATGGGCTCATATCACAAAGTACTACTGTTACCTATAAAATACACTTTTATGACAAAACAATCTCATACTGTTTTGTTTTTCATGAAATATAATTGCTATATTATCAATTATTTTATATGGTCCTTAAATATATAAATGGAAAGAACAAAATCAATTATATATCTGTTGTATCACAAAAATTATTTATATATATGCAACAATACAACATGCACACTTGAACGATGATTAATTGTGACGTAACAGAAGAAATGTTGTAACATGAAATTGTTAGACCGATGTAATTAACAGTTCCTTTGTTGGACTTTTTATAAGTAATAAATATATAGAATGATATTTATAAGGGTATAACAAATATGAATACAACATGCACACTTCAGCAAGAGATGTTTAACATGATTGTACAATGTATTAAGCATTTTAGTCTCAAAGCGGTACGATTCTCAGGATTTTAATATGAGTACTTTACAGCACTCTAAATTCTTAATTAATTTGTTAATTGAATATGATTATAAATATATTTGAAGCTATAGTAATTTTGTATGCCCTGTTCACTCATCTTTATTTTTTCAAGGGATATAGTTCAAACATTGATGAAACTGGGTTGACACACATATTTCAATACTTGTATTCCATTTGATTTTGTCACATAAATTATATAAGAAAATCTATTTTTAGCCCTCAAAAACTACAAGAAACATTAGCCTTGTCAGACTTTATACCTATCAGCTTTTATTTCTGTGCTAGAAAGAGGAGACACTAAGAAAGAAATTAGATGGGCTGAGAACATACATAGAAACTAGTTCCTGAAATAGAAATTGATCTAGACTTTCAGGAGAAAAAAAAACTAAAAAAAATTGAAATATAAAAATATCTGTAAAATATTTATTAATGAAATTGTGTACTGCTCATTTGAGATAACATGCACTAATCCTTTTATGCTAAGTACAAAATAATATTTAAAGAAAATTACACATGCTCTATAGTTCTTCAACATGTTCAAAATGTATAAACTTATCTATCTTGTGTGATATTACGTTTGCAAGATACCGAGTACTTACGACATTGTATTTTTTTTTTTTTTTTTGCTAAACATTAAACATTATTCAACATATCTGTAGGCACTACCAATGCTGTAAGCCATGTGAACTTCTTTAATAAACATATGTGCATGTGCGTTAATAAATTAACCTTTGAGCCTTGTAACCAAGTTTAAAGAAGAAAATGGTTTATGTTTTAAAAATATTTATATTACATAAATATGGAGGACTTCGAACTCTTGTCCTTGTATCCCTTTACAAAGACAGGGGCCTGAAACCACACATACGCCGACAGTATGTCCTCTGTGATGTTTGTAAGGGTCTGAGGTGTAAACACTGAGGGAATATCCTTCACGATGGATTCAGCATTGTTACTTTTATTGCAAACCATATCGATAGAAGAGTTCGATTGGTTTTTCTCTTGGACGACAGTGACGTCATTAGAGGTTAAAACAGACGAGCCTGAAGCGGTTAGCGAAGTAGCGCTTGCAGATTGCGAGAAGTCAAACGGTTCAAGTAGACTTCTGGTAGAATCCTGTAAAGATTCCTCGTCCCCGGACAACGAGAGTCGAGTCGCGAAATTCACCATCGAGATGTCGTTAGCAGAAGATTCCAGCGGTTCGATTCCCGATATTTCTGCTGTTTCATTACCACAGTCAATGCTGTGATTGACAGGATGCGGGTAGTCGCAATTCAAGTTAAACACATGGCGTCTACCCCGAACCGGAACTTTGAAATGAGGTTTGGGAAGAAACCACGTGATCCCGCTATTTTTAGGCGCGTTAACCATCACAGTCATATTTGTCGGAGATATGGTCTTGACATCTCCCAATACGTCCTGCGTTATGATTTGTCGGAAGAGTGACTTAATCGAATTCCTTACACTAACGCTGTCATGTTCCGGGTGCAGTACAGGCATAGTCAGTAAATACGACTCCTTTGGGCTAACCGGAGTAGTTCCAAACAGTATCAAAACGCTTCTGATTTCGGAACAAATTTCGAACGCCTGTGAGATCTCGTCAAATATTTGGTCGAGATTACCGACAGCCTTAATGGCGTTTTGGAGTTCCCGTCTGTTAGTTCGTTTGTCCAACCGTGCCTTAACTTCTGTCTGTTGTTGCTATAAAGAAAAAACCCATTATTATCATTTTAACCCTGATGCAGCATTGTTTCAAGCCTTAATTCTATAAGATTACATTACAAGACAAACAGAAGTAATGAATATTCATAATTGATAACAATTGGTGTTTGAACAATTCTTATCTATTGAAGTGTATTCTTTTTCCATCACTTATAGAATCGTGACAAGCCCACGGAACACACGATACATTAACGTGTAATAGGAAGATTGGCGGGGCGTAGGGATTACCCAAACACGAGTACTGACAATGCCATTGTTTGATATTAATTGTTTTATGTTTAACACACTGATTACACTGCAAACTGTCCTTACTTTTAGCCGCTCAATTTCGCCGTTGTGTCTTTGCCATCCAAAAAATCATATAAAAACACTTCTTTTTCAAATCTAAGCCAAACATTTTATTTTAATCAAGCTTTATTTTTAAGGTTTTTTAATGGGAAGGGCAAGGGGTAAAGTTAAAAAAAATCACTACGTGAAAAGAAAAGTATTGAACACCATTCGATCACAGGAACGTTTCATAAACTTTGCTTGAGTATTGTACTGTTTAGCGGACAACTTTAAGTACATCGACTTGTATTGGATATGGAGTTGGTATTACGTAACTTAATACTTCATTAATGATTGAAGTCGTATCGTTAATTTCTTTTTTTTTTTTTGGTATCAAAGAACAATTATTGAGGCATGAATATATTGTTTAAATTTAGGAATTTAAACTCGTAAGACACTAATAATTAACGAAGTTAGCTTTATCTCACTGCATACATGATGTGATATTTGAACTTATTCTTACAATTATATTGCTTTACGATGTACAATAAAATGAATAATATAGGAGATATTCATTTAAAATGCCCATCGATGACTTCATTGACAAAAAAATCATAGAAATCGTGAGTATAACATGACTTAGTTACTATAAATATATATTTATACCCTCTGATGTGAATATACATGTACACGTGTACAGAATACACAGACAAGCATGGGGAAGTTGACATTGGAGCCCCACCCTACTGGCCTAACACCAGAACCCCTGACCCTGGGCCATGACATTCACAAATTTTATGTAGACATCCTTCCTCCTCATAACTATTTATGCAATTAGTTTGTTTGATACCCAATAACAGTAGACAGAGAAGAATATTTCGAAAGAAATAATGCATTTTCACTATATATATATATATATAGTCTATATAACCTAGAACCCCTTACCCTAAGGGCATTAATTTCACAATAGTGGTAGAAGTCTTAATGCTTATATTACAATCATGCCAACAGTTTGACTGCTTGTATGTTGTCTATATATGTCAATGAGTCTGTAACAGCTTATAGATTGTAGACTTCACTATGTCTGTTCTTTTTTATTCCATATAACTCATTTTTTCTGTTGCTAAAATACACATTGTAAATCTTACTCTGCACTAACAAATTTAAAATAGCATGTACCTTATCTAAGACTGAAAGCTTGATTTGTTCTTTTTAATCAATTCAGTACCTTTTAATTAATGGTGTAATACATAAAGATAATTAGATTTTCCAATGTGATCAATTTCTGTACTTGGAAAATTTGAAAAAAAGGTTTCTCAGCCTTGCATAGTTTCAAAAATCAAAATACAATCCTTTTTTAATCCATAATAAAATTCTAACAAGTTTGAAGAGGAGAATGAAGAAAGGAAAGACGCATGAAAATACATGATTGATTTTGGTATTTCATACTAGGTGTGGTTGTATAAACATGATATTTACTTCACAGTTGATTATAAATAACATTAAAAACAAATTGAATTCAAGCTTGCAAAACAATTAAGAAACGAATCCTAGAAAACGTCATTAACCCCTCCTTTGGTTTTCTTGCTTTAACTTAGTTTTTAATTAATACTGAGGTTTGACATCAACCTTTAATACTAAGAAATGTGGATTTCTCCTTGAGGATATCTAAATTATGGAAGAGAATTACTCCCAAAATTCTATGTAACTTGCTTTTATTCTTATTCTGCCCACTTCTTTAAACTTTGTTATTATTGTAACTTTATGCCACTTAATTGTTTACATATTCGTCTATATAACATTTCAATTTGAACTTTTTTTCATTCTTTGTTTTGTCCTTATACTTCCATGTTGCTTTATTCTTGTAAATTTTTTCTTCTTTCTTACAAATATCAAATTCTTAAATGTCCATTTCTATAGGCTTCAAAGAATCTTGAGTCTTACAGAGATGCATAAAAGAAAAAAATTCAATTTAATTTTGTGAAACCTAATTTTGAGCCTTTTTTAATTACAGGTAAATAATAATGTAAAGAGTTATCCTTCCTAGATTAGGTTTGGATTTCCAACCTTCCTAGGCTTAGGTTTGGATATCCGTAAAACTAAAAAGATCATATTCACAATATTTCAAAAATATGCAAATGAGTCACTGGTTGATTGGACAATTGTCAAATGTGTCTGATGATTGACTTGTCCACAATCTGACAGCCAAGAATACACAGCCAAATGTAATACGTTTACAGTAGTTTCTCTACTTTCTTCATGAAAATGTTTAAGTCTACTCAGTAGACCTCATCACCAGAACCCACAGATTTTCTCTCTGTTACACTGTATTAAACGCTGAATGTAAATGGAGAGAGAACCTGTAGGTACAGATGATGAGTACACCTCATTCTAGAACTACTTCCAGGTTAGTTTGGACTTTCAGTAAGATGTGGCATTATCGATGTTACATAATAAGCTTCTGAAATTTACACAGCTTTCCTTCAGTGTTGAAATATACATGGGATAGAAATTTGGGCAATTTTGCCAAATAGTGTATCGAATATTAAACCAATAAAGTTGTCTCGTCCGGCAAAGAGGTGGGGCTTAAGTCGTCTCATCGTTGTCAACAACAATTTACAGTTGCTGATGTTATTAATTTCTTAACCAATGAAAATCTATTCGCCATTTGACAGACACTAATTACATAGCGCCGAGAATGCCATGCCTTACTGAAAGTCCATCTGGCCTAAAAATAGTTCTAATACCCTAGACTAAATCTCGACAATGAATCCAGGAGCTTCTGGGGCCTTTGCCCCATGGTCATCCCACCATGACTTCGCCTTGGTCCCACTGGAGGCCTCAAGGTTGCCACCAGATCCCCTGCCTATTTTCAGTACCTCCAACTTCAATTTCTGGATCCGCACCAGCAGAAATCAGAAATCTAATACATGTACCAGTTGTTTACCTTTACTTCCAGTGCCTGTGAATACACTTAACCCGACTAAAGAAAAATACAGCTTTTATAGTTGGGTGGCACTTTAAAACAAGTCCCTATAGACTGAATAGTCGACAGTCGTGGACTGACTTTCATTTTTCATGATTCTTACCCCCTTCGCTGTATCAGTGTTGATATTCTTTTTCAGTTGGTCTAACGCCAAGGGGAGTTGCTGCCTCTGGTACATTAAATACTTGATGATTTCTACAACTAATTTTGCTCTTACTGTTAAACCCAGTCCAGCATCAAACACGAAATCGTGTGTTATTAAATTATTTTTGAATCTCCCTCTGTTTGCCATGATTTTGAAAACAAAAAATGGTTTTCCGAACCCGAGCTTAATACACACGATCTCGATAAAATTACCCAAATCGCTAACACAGCTTTTAAACGTTATCTTTAGCATTGTTTAAGATTAAATTGCAATACATGTATTTAGAGATTTTTTAAAGAATAAATAATTAAATAAATAAAAGTCTTTAAAGTTAAATCTAAGAAAATATGATGTATAATTTTATTAATATTATTTTAAATGTTTTAAAGTCATATTGACTATAAATAATAATTTTTAAAAAGTATTAGAACTAAAGATAAGATGTTTTTTGATCAAAATCTATAAAACCACACCATTGTCACATCGGTAATTATGTATTTTAGTTTTACAAAGATGATGAAGGGCATAATTAAATAAACTTGCCCTTCTCAGAATAATTCTTTGAGAATATATTCCCTTCTTCATCAATCATTGGAGAGGGTGACACTTAAAATCAAGCCTGAGGGACGTACAAGTATAGTATGTTTGTCCCTGGAAATATGCAATCATGCATACTGTATTGTTTACTTATACAATGTTCTACCGAAGTATGTATATTTATCTATTGAAATCTTTATAAGTAGTTTTTTATAGCAGGTTATTAACAATTGGCCGTACCTTTAGTCGGTCAAAATTCTTAAACCAACTGCAACACAAAGAAAATGCTGTATTTCTTAATCGTGTTTGAGTTTCGTACCATTTGAAAGTTTGATTGAAATTAAACCAAAATTGTAAGTGTAGAAGGATTAGCATTTATAAAAATCTCTATCAGCGCACATTCTCTCTCTCTCTCTCTCTCTCTCTCTCTCTCTCTCTCTCTCTCTCTCTCTCTCTCTCTCTCTCTCTCTACCCGAGATCCCTACATTACGAGGAAATGGACTGGTCATAAGACCAACACTGTGGGGAAAGTTGGAAATTGTGGGGAAGACGTTAATTCCCCACAGTTACATGTGCCCTTTTCTCGTTCATTTTACGACATAACCAAAGTTTAACATTATAATTATAATGTCTTATCGATCTGAAACAACTTCTCACCTTCATTGGTTTACATACTTCAATTGTTTAACGTATAACCTAAGCCAATCAAATTTCCCCACAAGAATTTTATTACGACTCACACTACCGAAAAACGACGTCTTTCGGAACACCCCAAAATAAATATTCGTTAGCGGGAAAAAGATATGGGATGTTGTTCTAGCAGTTTATAACAGTAATTTACAATGATAAAAATAGAATTTATAAAGTCTTTATGGTAAATAAATCAAGTATAAGATTTTGTATTATTAAGATTTTGCTGGTCGTTAGCTTAATGAACGTTTTCGTCATGTTACTTGAATTGAATAAAACAGGCACATAGCATTCGGGATGCGGAAGGGGGGGATCTGCCCACCTCCAACCCCCCACATAAAAGTTTTTACCCCCCCCCCCTCCACTTAATTTAAGTTGCATCATTGCCAAATAGGGGTGATTAAGTGTTTGAGTAAAAATATATCTATATATGTTGTACCTAAAGTTCTTGGACCTCCATCCCTAATTCCATGAAATAGAAATGTTTATTTGACCATTTTCATTTTTAATTATTAGTTTTTTAGATAGTGTCATTTTTAAAAAAATTAAGTTGACCCCCCCTTTTTTTTTTAAACGATGCTATGACTCCGCGATAGTGTTTGTCCAGGAAAATACATGAAAGTCTAATTTGATGTTTTTGCTTTGAGTATTTTTGTATTTTATTATTTTATTTATTTGTGTGTGTGTGTGTGTGTGTGAGAGGGAGGGTGTGTGTGTGTGTTTGTTTAAATATGGAAAACATGTTTGTTAAATTGGAATAGATTAGATCTTCGATTATTTGAAGGTAAAACCTTTGGGACAAACATAGTTTAAAATATTGTTTTATTAAGGCTTCTGACAGTGAGTCCAAAAATAATTTTTCACCCCCAGCCCCCAGCTGGGACGGGCTAGTCCAAGTTTTAATGACAGATAACTACCCTCGAACTCCAATCACTTCTGATTAGCCATTGCCCCTCTATGAGTATGTAAAACAAAAACGATTACAGCTTCATATTATTACCTATGGTTTAATCCATATCAGGTCCAATGTCAAACAGTATCTGTCTCAACTTTCGAAAGATGTCCCTTGTTCTTTAGCCATTTTTGAAAATTAGATGGCCATGAGCTTAAAATTAGTGGAAATGAAAACAATCATTATATATAAACAATTAAGAATATTAGGGTTTTCCCTTGGAAATGAATTGACCCCCACGCCCCCCCCCCTAAAAAAAAAACAGGGGCATTTTAAAAAATGACCGTAACAGATGAGGGAATATCAGAATAAATGGACGATACTTTATATTTATCATGGTCGTAGGCGCAACTATTTTGCGGATCCAGGGTAGTGTTAAACCCTGGATTCCATATTTTTTTTCTACGTCTTTGTTATACCATATAGTGTTCATATCCGTCCGTCTGTCTATCTGTTAGCTTTTTTCTTATCCGACACATAACTTTAACAGCGTTTAATACTATTAAATCAAAAAATTATCTTGTCAGCTGATTCATCTTTGGTAGAATGTATGTCGCGCATCAAAACTGCGCTGACCTTAAATTAATATGCTATGACCAAGTATGAAAAAAATCCTGTCCGGCTCATAACTAGCTGCGAATCTATGGCATATTAAGGTTTTATATTTTTTATATTCATATTTAAGAGTCTTGAACCATAATGCTGTATACAGATCCCGTAAGGCAATAATTGTGCAATTAATGGTGCAAGATTTTATTCGCAATTTTGGGGAGAATTTTTCCACTTTTCAACATCATCATCCAATCAACTACTTTTATTCCCTATATCTAGGCATATTTTTAAGGAGTTTGTATGTTTTATCCATATCCATGCTCTCATATAATCGTCTCTACGGACCAAATAAATCTGGTTTTGACAAATTCACAACAGGCGAACTCAATACTATATAAAACTATTAGACCCAGAATCACCAAACTCGGCCAAAACTGCAGTACTTGCATCTTCGGTAGAAGGTGTGTAGCGACCTATTTCATGGTCACTGTGATCTTTAATTTAAGGAGGGATTCCTGTCCGGTTTCTGACTTGATGAAATATTTAAAGTGTTTTCGCTTATAATTAAGTATTATACATGAATATTTAGATGTATTAGGATTTTTCTTTCCTCGTCACAAACGTTGTAAAATATTAGATAGAAATGGTAAACTGGGTTTAAAATCTTACAAGGACTAAATTTTCGTTTTGGTATAGAAACATCTTATCTGTTTCTCAAAATTACTAAAAAAACAATGGATTTAGTTAAAATTTTGACACAATCAGACTTGCAAAATAGTCAAATGAAATTAATATTGTGACTAAATTTTTAAATTAATCAAATAAATATGATTTTCAAAACACAATACAATTATGTTTGCATTGAAAATTAAGCTTCCAGTCCAAGTACAAAGAATGAATGCACTTTTAAAAGCCATTAGATTTGAACCCGATGTTTTGCGCAAAATAAAATTCCAAAATTCATTAAATCTATGGTTTTTTTTTATAGGTCTTTCAATTCTTTTTACCGATTTTCCATATAGTTTTTTTTTCTGAGCATAATAAATTAACGTCGGGTACGATGAACTTGGTAGTTGTGGAAAATGTCTAAAGAACTGGGGCCCGTTTTAGAAAAGGACTTACGACTTGAGACCAGTTTAATTCGTCATATAACTTTTTAATAAACATTATATCAAAATTATTTTAAACTTGAAATGTGGTAAGACGTTTTGGAATATTATATTACATAAAATTATTAAATAATGCCGAGCGACACAAATTTTTGACGGGGGTCTTACAGTTTTGTCACATTTCTATTGTTACAGTGTATTCATATGCACACTAGTTTTCAACATTGTATACATCGAGACGCAAATTGGCCATTGGTCTCATTTGCACAGAATATATATTTTAATTTAAACTTATACTTATCCAAAGGACCACATTGGCCAAGTTGTGGCTCATATCTAATTGAAAAAAAATGTCCTTAAACTAGGGTCGAGATAGCTATACTAAATTAACCGGACATCGAGCCTTATGTTAATTAACGATTGATATTATAATCACCTTACTCACGTGACATATACTGCTGTTCGATACACTAACACTTTTTTTTTGACATTTCATTGTGTTTAAGTTTCTGTTGTGACAGCATCTATCATACTACAAATGTTAAACTATGGGAGATTTTTGCGCAAATCTTAATAGGGTTTGAAGATAATATGTCTCTTATTTAACTTTATTTTTCATTAGGCGTGTTCTGAAAGAATTTTGGTATTGACACTGGTAATTAGAAAGTACATGTATTGGCTCATGTCGCCTCTGTATTATGGTCTGCAGGGCAAGACATCTACCTCATCCGTAAAAAATAGAATCATTTATTATAATTGTGCACCATAAAATCAACATGATCTATTCCTCTTCTCCATTCAAATTCGTAGTGCGAAAAAATCATGATATGCACTAATGCGGTACCGTTCAAACTTCCGGAATTTAAGGCTTTAACATGTTCTTTTCAATTACATTGTCTTTAATTATAGAAATATGTATGACAAAAAATTTTAGAAATAAATATCAAAAGCTTATGCTTGCACAAAATTCATTTAATTTGGGTTACCGAAAAGGTTTCAAATGACGTTCTTAAGTATTCTTTGAGCCAAAAATGGGAAAAAAGTGTTTTTCTTGTTTAGTTAAAACGACACCGGGAAGCATAAACGGGAATTGACAAACGTAGAATTTTTACATAAACCATGCAAATTTGGTTCGATTCCTGAAAGTACCTGTATTAGTCTTTAAAAAGTTCTAGGTTCCAGAACCTAAAAAAATATATTTTTTATGCAAAACAATTAAAGTAAAAATAATTTGTGAATGCCCCAACACGAAAATATTGGCTTTCGTATTCCTCCCTACTGTGTCGCCCGTGTGGCGCAGTGGTTCGAGTGTCTGCTCTAG